TCTATTTGTTAACACCAGCTGCATTCTTTGACTGGTGTTAATCTGGTGGCCATTTCTCCCGACTCTCCCCTACAACAAGTATACTAAGTATACCATGAACAAAGTATACAATCTACTCATGCCGCCACACTCATAAATGCATTGAATATATTTAAATCGAAATATAACTATTTAATACAAATTATATTATAATTGTAGACTGTGCATTAACTATACATATAAATTCGCCAACAAAGCTCAAACAAGACGGGTCAAACACCAAGCAGGCTATTTATAGATACGCCAGAGCGTGGTTCATTAATGAGTTCAATAGCGCGCAAAATATAATTCCCGATAACTACGCTAAATGATATATATTTATTTTTAATAACGCAATTGCGTTTGTTGCGTAATATTTTCTTTCCGAAATGAAATCGTCTCAATTTAAGTATTGTGTCAAAAATATTCGGTTTAAAAGTGGTTGGTACATGAGAATATTAATATAGTTCATGGGCGTGAAATAAAAAGTGTGCAGTGACGTATGATGGGGAAGGGGTGTAGCAAATATGTGTTGGACTGCAATAAAGCTTTAAAATAGATTAATAAGACACGAACAAAGTGTGTCAATATAACAATATAAGGAAGCTTTCATATTATGAATCATAATAATTATACATTATACACAAGTAAACGTTTCGGCACATGCCTTCATCAGTAGAAACAAACAAAACACATTTAAATAAGTATAAATTAAATTTACATAATATAAATATACATATCCTACCTAAAACAGAAAAATAGGAGAGGGCGCTAAAACCAGACAAAAACAAAGCAAAGAGGAGTTTGCTTTTTTCAATTATGTTAAATCACTTCCTTTCTACTCCTTAAACTTAAACTTAAGAAGTAAGTTTACAAACATATAGTCCATTCAATTATCTTTCATTGGATACCAAATTTTGTCTAACAAACCCTAAAATATTTTTAAAATATTTTTTTAATAAACCCAAACTCTCACTTCTCGGACCCGGGTCCGAATAGCCGCAGCCAATTATAAAATAAAAAAACTGTCAATTGTGTATCTATTTCGGCTTTAAAACGATATGCGTGTAAATTTTCGGTAAGATGAACAATCAGGAACCCACACCTAACCACTCTTATAATCACTCTCCAAACTGAAATTATGGCGGCGGATTTTGATTATCATTATGAAAGTTCTACGGATAACGAGGAGACGGTAAATGTGATACAATAATATTAGTATTAGTATTTTTAATGGTTGAAACCTGGGCCATCGGGAGTTTCACGCAGTCGCACGTCGCAAGTTACCAACAAAGACTACATCTTGTCATTCTTGTGACAACTCTTCCAGGCATCTATAGTCTATAGTTTCTTAAGTCTAAAGTCTGAATTAGTATTAGTAACTCCACTTCTTAATTCTTAGTCTTAGACTTAGTGGTGGAAGTAGAAGTAGTAGACTAGGGCACTATCACCAGGGTGACCAAATCATGAACTGGAAAAAACGGGACACACCCAAGGCCAAGGAGGGTTTGGGGGGATACCCTCCAGCTAAAGACTAAAGAGGGGTCCGCCGGAAACTGTTTATTGAAATTATTGAAAGGGAAAATCTTTTTAAATTTACCTTCACTTAACTTTTGTAATTTAATTTAAACTGAGGCATATCATAAACGGAAACAATAAATAATTTTACAGTTACAGTGAATATCGCAGTGACACAGTCTTTTACACACAGTGTCCGCAGAGTGATTGGGTGGAGTGGGAACAGTGCAGCCATCATTTGAGACCACTATTGGCACTGGCTACACAGCTAGCGAAAATATTACTTGAAGTTATATTTTAATTTAGGAAGTTTTAGTGATTTAAAAATGTGAATATAGAAACGGGACATTTAGGCATCCCGAGGAGAGACTTTGTATGGACACTGGTTACGATCCTGAAAAAAACGGGACAATCCCATTTTTACGGAACGTTTGGTCACCTTATAGTTAGTTGAAGGTAGCAGTAGAGAGTAAAGGGGACACTTATTCACATTCATATTAAAAAATTAATATTATTATTATTTAGGCCTAAATTATAATATTACATATTATAACGGTACTTCAATTTTAATTCACCGCAAAAATTATTATTATTCACACTTCCAATAAAGCAAATGTTCTTTTGAATAAAAACGTTTAATTCAACGCAAAAATCATTGTACAGCTAACATTATTTCAAATTTCCATAACAACACTTCATACTTCCAATAAAACAAAGGCAGTGTCTACACGTCCGCACTATTTGTCCGGCGACCAAGTCACATGACCGCCGTAACAAAGTGGCGAGAGATATCTTGTCACGTGACAGCGAATGATTCAAAACTGTTGTTAACTTTAAAATATATTTCTCTACCAAGTAATGTACTGGAGTATCTTGAATGCAAATAATAGAAAAAAGAGTGAAAGTGGCTTGTAAACATTTTTGTTTAGTTTGTTATTTGAGTTTGTGTACCAGTAATCCATAAAATAAATTAGGGGCCAGTATTCAGTATGGAGTAGGCAACCAATAAAAGTAAAAGATTTCATTTTAAATTGTTTAAATTGCTACAAAATATTTTAAAACTTCTCATGAAACTACTGTTGCTGATGAACATGATAATATAAATATAATATAAAATATTTTTAATTAAAATGGGGGGAAAAAAACGATGCCATACTGGCCATTGATCCACAAATTTAATTATAATATCGTGAACCGACCACTCTACCTCAAGACCAGACAAGATGCCCCAATTAGTCATTTCGTTCGAAATAATGACCACTAGTCGTCCGGCGATCAAGTGACATGCCCGCCGGACGTATATCATACGCATTATTTGTCCGGCGCGCCGGACGTGTAGACACTTCGTAAAAAAAATGTTCTTTTGCATTAAAGCGTGTTTACTTCTTTTATAGTCCTCCACTACTGTGGTGGCCAAATTTGAACAATATCGTTAGAATGTCATTGAATACATTCAAACCATTCTCTTTAACACGTCGACGCAATGGCAATATGAACCCACACATATAAGAATCGAGCGTATGTCTGTGTGTGCTATTGTTCCTCTATTTTGCCAATTTCCACGTATGTTCAATGCGTTGAGCATTGGCATTCCATTAACTTTGAGATTGTTAGCACATCGTCTGACAGCATGTATAATACAGTGTTGTTATAGAAACAAGATACAACTGACTTCATTGTGAACTAATGCAGAAATCGTCAAAGAATTCATGGTGTCTACAGAAGCAGTTGTATTTATTGAACCGGAGTGAATTAAAATTGAAGTACCATTATTAGGACCACTCAAGTATTTAGAAACATTGTTATGTGAAACAGTGACATAAAAAGCTTATGAATGATTATGTAGGGCTATGCCGACCCTAAACTATAATAATAATAATAAGAGGTCTTATATAGCGCGGTACCCCAGCCTAGGGCTGGGCTCACCGCGCTGTACATAAAAATTTTATCAAAAGAGACATAATCATGACATTAAAATAAAATACATTTATGAAATAAAGAACAGCAATGTATCCTATATAATATATAAAAATAGGCCTGGAACAGCGGTCAACAAATCACACAAATCGCGGCTTGCAAGCCGCATGCTGCATTGTGCAAGCGGTTCTTTAGTGACCTGAGTGCAGCTCAGCCAGTCGACCACAAATCGGTTTTGACTCAGTTCTTTAAAAGAAATTTGGCTCTCAAAAAAATTATTTAAACCCTTTCATTACTGCTGGTTTTTGGGCATCGATTTTTGTTGACTCAGCAATTTAAAAAAATAAATAATAATAATAAAAAAAAAAATAATAATAAATAATAGTATAAAAAAGAAATTTTCGGTATATTTCATTCTCTATCTGATCCGCTTTTTAACTTCTCTATAGATTAACGAATAAAGAAATATGTAGCATTGAAATATGACGTCCTTGGTATTTCAGAAGAGGTCTTTGCCTTTTTATTATGATGACAATGTGAAGTCCTTGGTAATTGAAAGTGGGTGATCATGACATTGCCTTGACATCATTGGTAGCGAAGTGATTAAAGCGTCCTGCTGCTGATTTTTGACTCTTTTTACTAATTAGTTTGCCGAACACTGGCCTGGGACCTAGTTACTTAATATTTAGATGGGGCTTGAAAAAAACCAATTGATTGATAATAAAAATAGATAAAAAATTATGTTTTTAGGCTGTACATAATGTAGATCAATTCTAAAGAAAGTTATGATTTTTGTGCTAGCCTCTTGCCTGTCCCACCTCTCCCACGTATTATTCAAGTACAAATAATGAATAATAATCTGAGTGGCATATTTATACAAATTTTAAATTCCTTTTTGTAACTTAATGTAACCAATGGTCGGACCAACATTTAGATCAGTACTATGCATGTTACTACTATTTCATATCTTTTAATACAATTTTAGATAAAGGGACTGAAATATATATATTATATTATGTATTAACCTTTGCTGTGTTTTTATTATTTATTATTACCTTTATATCATAACCCTAGCTATGTTCTTTTAATTAAGAATTAAAAAAATAGCAACATTAATTTATAAAATTAAATTCAAGCTTTGAAAGTCAACAACTAAATTACCATAAATTAGGATTAGCAAAGAAATTTTTTTTCCATTACATCAAGAAATCTATTTTAACCATTATTTTGCTGTTGTTTTATTTATAGTCATAGATACATCTATCTAATAATAGCCCAAAATTTTCCTCTACCTTCTCATCTCTAATTTTGGTCAATATAATATATAGCTGTGCACCAAGTGTGTACCAGGAGCAAACGATTGAATCTACATCATCAGTTTGAATGATTATTTAATGGTGTTGGATAGTATTTAAAAAAAAAAATAATTAAATATTATTGTGACACATTGAAGAAAAAGAGGTAATAACAAATAAAGACTATGAATATTAATGAATAATGTATTATTTAAAAAAACAACTTTTACTTCAGCTTAAGTTCCCTACGTCAGCTTTTTATGAAGAAATCTCCCATGATTCAGTTAAAAAGACTGTAGAATTCTGCATTGATTTGAAAGATTGGGCAGAGGCTTCTAGTTGGATTGATGAATTCTGTTTGATGAACTACTTCAGCTTTGTAGTTGAATCCACCAAGAAACCAACAAAATTTACACTGTACAAAAAATATTTCAGGTTTGTTTATGACAAAATTTGCACGGTAAAAAAAAGTAATTCAGTTTTTGTTTATAACCAAATTTACACTGTACAAAAAGTATTTCAGTTTTTGATTATAAAAAAAAATTACACTATGCAAAGACTTTTCAGTTTTTGTTTATAACAAAATTTACACTATACAAAAAAAATTAACAGAAAATCAACTGACACAATACAGAAATGTAACACTGCCAATGTCTCTTTTAAGTCAGCTTCTATATGTACCCCAAAGAGGAGTGTTCTTTTTTAATATTAGCATCTGCATTACTTACAATGCTGCTGAATAAAACCTAAATTGTATCTATAAATGCAGTTATAAATAGGTATTTAATATAAATATTCAGTCATTTATCAAGTATGAAAAATTCATTTTTCAAATGTTACAAATTCATTTTTAAAATGCTAAAAAGTCATTTACCGGGTATCAAATGTTAAAAAGAAATAAACAAAGTTACCCGAGCCAGACTTGCGGTAGTGTAAAATAAAGTACTTAAGTTGAACACCTTTAACCTTCGTCTTCACTTGCAGGTGTGCCCACAATCCTCGAAATAAAGGCAAGACATTGAACAGTGGCTGCTCTGCAAATATGATTGTCACTGGCAGACTAGCCAACAAGAAGTGAGTTGAGTAGCTTTTATTGTGGTATATGAGAACATTAAAAGTTAATGGGTGTGTACAACAGTCTGCTGCCAGACAAGTAATAATCTGTTCGGTGCTTGTCTGTTCTAGAAAAAAAATGTCAATATATTTGAATATTGTTGATATTATTTTGACATTTTAAAAAAATGGTTTGGTGGAATAGTCAAAGTATAACAACCGGTTTTAAGTAAGACAAAGCAGATTTAAATGTTTGACAAAAAAGTGTGTTCTTCTGTGAACATTCTATTTACAAAATACCTTAATCTATGAAGGATGGCAATAACCTGTTAGACAGGAGGAAAAATATCTGAACATGCAGATAACCCCAGCAAAGCTTGTGTCATATACTCTAGCATACTTAATCTTAATTGTTCTTATATTGAAACAACTTTGAATATTTAATTTATATGATTTTGAAGATGAGACTGTTTAACACGCTTAAGCTTAAAAAAATAAAATGTGGTAGTTATGAATACATCATACTGGAAAGTAATTTTTTTCATTTGCATTACCATACACAGAGTTAAAGATCTTTTTAAACATTTTATTGTACAATATGGAATACATCTGTTGAATTCCATTTCATTTCCCTCTCAGGTTAAAAACCAGGTATCCTTGCGTAGTTGAGCTTTTTTATAAACACAATCACCAACTGCGAAGTACAGAAGCTCTTCAAAATCGTCCCGTTTGCATTGAGACACAAGAAAGCCTGACAAGGCTGCTCCAAAACCATGGGGCCAAGGAAGCATTAGAGAAACTAAAGATTGGGTATGGTAAAAGACTGGATGAGATCTGTCATGACACAGCATACTGTCCCAATCTTCAATACGTTTATACGTAGGTACACCTTGGATTGTTTTGACTGAAATTCATTGCAAAGAAATCTATTGCTACTTGTGATTTCTCTTCAAAATTTGAACCAAAGGCTTCTAGGACATATTTTGATTCTGGATCAGGTGTAAAAATTAATAGGATATTACTTGGTGACTTATAGAGCATATCTGTGATAAATTGTTACTCATGTGTTTAAAAACTGAGTTTAGGTTGGACAATAATTTTATACGTTAACTTTCAATAATGGAATAACGGGAATCTAAAAATAGATATTATAGGGGAAAATTTTGCTCTGCAAGGCATTGACTCATTGACAGACCTGTTTACTCTTACGATTTGGCGTACAAAGTATGATTTTTTGATGATATTGTACGATTTTAACAGTTTGAGGGTAAATAGGTCTTCATTGACTAGATCTAATTGATGTGTTTCAGGGAAATATTATTCTATCAAGAAAATTGCTTTAAACATTTTAAATAAATGGAATTCACTACTACAGGCCCTCTGTAATTATTTCTCATTGTCACTATATTTTTTGCATTCATTTATGTTAAATTTTTCATGTTCCCATAGACTACAGAGGCAGCTAAAAAATTCAGAAGCTAACAAAACTAGGATACGTCGTTGGATTCAACATGAATTCAAAAAACCTGCTGCAGTCATTGAAGAAGGAGATGACAACTCTGTCGAAACTGCGGATGAATATTCCGAACATGATAGATTCAACTACGAGGACCCTGGAAGAGATGGGCTCTTTGACAGTAATGCAGATCTGGCATTTAACAGGGGAATAATCAATGTTAAACAAAAGATAGTTAATTACTGTGACGGCCTGGTACGAAAACTGAAGACGATGCCACATGCTGGCAGTTACATTGAAGCAATGTTAGAGTTGCTCCCAAACCCAAGCCTGACAGATTCTCAGTTTGAATCGCAATTGGAAACTCTGTTAAGTTCTTTTCCAAGGTAGTTACTGCATTGTTGCAAGGCAATTTTTTCTGTAATTTTTTAATCACTTAATAGTTCCACTATGGGAGATTATTATTATAAGTGGTTTTATATAGCGTGGTATCCAAGCCAAGGATTTGGCTCACCACGGTGTACATACAATTTAACGAACATAATGAAAAAACTTTAAAAATTAATTGACAAACATTAATTAAATAAAACGAAACAAATGTAGATTTAAAACTATTTACATGTCCAGCCATGGACGACACCCAGTAGCATCATTTTTTGGTCAGAGGTGGGAATCAGTCAGGATAGTAGAGTTTAAAAAGATGTGTTTTGAGTGCATTTTTGAAGGCTGTGATGGTCGGTATATTGCGGATGTGTAATGGAAGATGTTAGTTGTTAAGACCTAAAATTCAGAATTTTATTATGTTAGCATACTCCTTTAAGCCCTGTAGTCCAGGTGGAAGAAAACGGGTAATTTACCACTTGAGCGTCGGCCAGGAAAAAATCCAGTTGTTCCGGTTTGAAGGGCTATTTAAACAATTATTCACTTCCGTATTTAAAGTTATTTAGCACAATACATTTAAATAATTATTACTACGGTACTAAGTTTCCGATATGACAGGAAGAAAAAGAGGAGAGACTACAATAGTGCTGATGCACGAAGTGTTTGATATTGATCAAATAAGAAACGAAGAAGTATGGCGGCTGTCCACACTACTGCCGAATTTGTCTGACCCTAATTCAGCACTACGATGGTGTGTGCGTCGACGACTCTTAAAAAATAGTATGACATGTGCTGTCTGCAATGGGCTGTGCAGGTTAAACAGATACGCTCAAGGACAGGACGGACTCAGGTGGGCCTGTGCTGCATGTAGTTATAGAAAATCACTACGAGAAGGCTCGTTCTTTGCTGGAAGTCACCTCAGCATCCAGCAAATTATTATTTTAGTTTACTGCTGGTGTTGTGATATGCCACAGTTGCAGATGGCACGCGAGGCTGACGTCTCAAATGTCACTATTGTGTCGGACTGGTCCAATTTTATGCGGGACGAGTGCGAAACCTGGCTGGCTGCAAATTCATCTGAAATTGGGGGATTCGACGAACAAGGAGAATCAATTGTAGTAGAGATTGATGAAACAAAATATTTCCACAGGAAATACCACAGTGGAGAGAGGGTCACTGGGTTTTTGGTGGCGTGGAAAGAGAGCGTGGGCGCTGCTTTCTTATCGAAGTGCCAGACCAACGTGCAACAACATTATAAGAGTGTATTGAAAGATTCATCCTTCCAGGAACACTTATTGTATCCGACGGTTGGGCAGCGTATGCAAATATTAACCAAATAAGAAATGGGATATATGAACACTCTGTTGTGATACATCAACGAAATTTTGTTGATCCAGGTAACGCTGATGTCCACACACAGATTGTGGAAAACATGTGGATGCGCGCGAAGCGCAAACTGAAAAGGCAGTTTGGCACACGCCGCGAACTATTCCCTTCTTATCTACATGAATTCATGTTCCGCAACCGTTTTCGAGGACATGATATTTTCAAGAACTTCATTCTCGCCTGGGGGAGAAATATGCATAATGTCATTTTTACACATTACATTGTTTGATTTCTTCTATTTTAATTTTTTTTTTAAATTAATTTTGTTTTCCATTTTCTATTTTTTAAAATTGTCTTGTGTTATTTGTTCTACTGTATATGTGCTGGAATGAATATGTACAACGTCGTAAAAACAAGATAAGAATAATTGTTTAAATAGCCCTTCAAACTGGAACAGCTGGATTTTTTTCTTGGGCTCAAGTGGTAAATTACCAAAAAACGTAACTGGTTTAGTCTTTGTTTACCTTCTCATTATTTTGTATTTGTATCAATTTTCTGTAAGATTTTCTTCATGATGCATGAAATTTAAAGTAGTTTATGACAATAATATAAAGTAAAACATATTTTGCAATAATATAATTGCTGACCTAATTACACATATTTTTCCTTACTGCATGCTAGATTTTTTTCTGGATAATAAATGAGTGACTGTGTCTTATTGTCCTGTCTTTCGATTCAAGCTTCCACATAACTTGTTCTATTATTTCATAGATTTTTTTTGCTCTTTTGGCAGACAATTGTTGTATGAGCAAATGATTGAAATAAGCCATGTTCTCTTTGATGATTAACAGTATAACCATTTTTGTTGTTGTTGTTGATGAACTCTCCTGCCAAATTTAGCTTTCAGTTTTATTTCTAAATGATGAGCAATTTCAGTGGGGTCAGGGAAATGGTTTAGTGTCCCAAACAAAGAATTTAGTTATAGACCTGTTTACTCTTCTGATTTTGGTGTACAATGTAAGATATTGAGGTGTATACATCATATATATACTGTATGTTTATTTTTTTACTATTAATATAATATATTGAAAGATTTTGTAATGTTATTGTACGATTTTAAGAGTTTGAGGGTAAACAGGTCTGTCGTCAGTATCCTAGTCATGCTGGCTTATGTTGTATTAAGAATGTGTCCCCCATAAAGTCTCATAATATTGGCTTATGTTGTATTAAGAATGTGTCCCCCATAAAGTCTCATAATATTGGCTTATGTTTTATTAAGAATGTGTCCCCATAAAGTCTCATAATATTGGCTTATGTTTTATTAAGAATGTGTCCCCATAAAGTCTCATAATATTGGCTTATGTTGTATTAAGAACGTGTCCTCCATAAAGTCTCATAATATTGGCTTATGTTGTATTAAGAATGTGTCCCCCATAAAGTCTCATGATATTGGCTTATGTTGTATAAAGAACGTGTCCCCCATAAAGTCTCATAATATTGAATCCTGATGTAAACACTTTTGTAACTGCTGGTGATGTACTTACTTAATACTCTAGTTATATTTCTTAAGTGGGGATTGTCACAAAATCAATGAAACTTTTTAAAAACATTTTTATTTTTTTTAAATTGTTGGTTTTTTTGTTGCCAACTATTGTTTGCTCATTTTTATGACCCATGCAACAATGCAACTTCCACAAAGCATTTAATGTTGGAGCTTTTTAATATAATAGAGACTGGTGCTTTATTTGTTATTAATTTGTAAGTGCAACCTGCTGGAGTTTTTTTTTGAGTTGTAAAAATGCAATTCTTTTATTCATCCAAATAATTTAAAATACATTTGATTACATTGTACATCGTCATTTTAAGCATATTGATAAACAGTTTGATAAAGATAACATTTTTAAACTATAACAACTTAAATTTTATAAATTTGACATAAATGCTAATTAAGCCTGAACTTTTTATTCCTTTTAATATTCTGTGATACTTTGTGTTGGATACCGGTACAAAAAAATGAGTTAAATTAGCCATATTTTAACAATGAGTTAAATCAGCCATATTTTAACAATGAGTTAAATCAGCCATATTTTAACAATGCATTATGTCAGCCATATTTTAACAATGAGTTAAATCAGCCATGTGATGTGAATTTTTTTAATCGAGAGATGAAGTGATCTCTGTTTACATCTGGGGAAAATATGATAAGTTAAGATAAGATTTTTAAAAACTTTTATAGAATCAAATAGATGGAAACGTTTTTGATTACAGTGTACATATTCATTTTCAGCACATAAATAAATACATTTTTAACCAAGAAAACATTTTACAATTAAAACACAAGACATCTAAAGTATTTCCCTAGCGTAGAAATCAGCCATCAGTGAACTTAAGAGAGTTGACCATATAGTATTGATTTGAACATCTCCAGTTTCTGAGTTAACATTTGCTGTCTTCACAATAAGTACTAGCCAATGTGGGGGTGCATCTGTGGCTTATACTAAAATAATACTTTCAATGTACTTAATATTTATTTTACTAAAGCATTTTATTAAACATTATTATTATTATTTTTTGATTCTGGGGTGTCCTGTAATCCTTTTGAATATAAAGTAAATGAATACCACCAAAAACATGTATCGCCACCATTGCTTTTGGCTTAGCTTTAACCCAAATGCTTCATTTAATCAGTTGTTATGTCTTTGGCTTATCAAAATTTTTGCTTTGTTCTCTGAGTAGATTTTTTTTTTTTTTTGTACTGAGAATTCTTTTATAGATTTTTTAAATCTACTCTACAATTAGTGGTATTTAATAGTTCATAGGTTGCAATGTCTAATTGTTCATAGGGTGGAATGTCTAATTGTTCATAGGGTGAAATGTCTAATTGTTCATAGGCTGGAATGCCTAATTGCTCATAGGGTGCAATGTCTAATTTTTCATAGGGTGAAATGTCTCATTGTTCATAGGGTGGAATGTCTAATTGTTCATAGGGTGAAATGTCTAATTGTTCATAGGGTGGAATGTCTAATTGTTCATAGGGTGAAATGTCTAATTGTTCATAGGGTGAAATGTCTAATTGATCATAGGGTGAAATGTCTAATAGTAATAGTTCATAGGGTGAAATGTCTAATTGTTAATAGGGTGGAATGTCTAATTGTTCATAGGCTGGAATGTCTAATTGTTCATAGGATGGAATGCCTAACTATAACAGTCTTTCTTAAGGACTATAATGTCTATAATAATTAGATTATTTATTTTTATTCTATTTCAAATTTTACAAAATGTCTGTAACTTTGGGGCACAATGAATTCTATCAGTATTCAAGCAATGTTACAAATATTTATAGAACTTGCGCACTTTGTGTTAATAAATCTTTGAATGCCATGTGTCCTGATTGACTTGATTTTTTATAAATGTCTTGATTATTGTTACCTAACCTGCTTATGTGCTGACCTTCAAGTAAAAAAGCTGCTCTTACTGCTTGTCGGGGTGTAAAAAGAGTGGCAGGTCATATGGATCATGTGCTGAGGTTAACTCTAATTAACAAAACTGCTCTAACTGATTGTCCTGTGATATGAATAGTGTGGCAGGTCATGTGGGGAAAACTTTTGTTCGTCCTTTCTTCTGCAATTATTGGCTTAAAACTTCTTTTAAAAACGTTTATCATATGATTTGGTTTGGCGTGT